GTCTCAGTTGGTAAATGGCAGTGAGCAGGCAATGTTTTTCGCTTAAAGATAAGCAACTGTTCGAATGATCATCGAAAAAGAATTATTGTACGTTCATAGAATAAATCTCAAAATATTCATTCATTTTTTTCGTTCACACAAACAACAACACAGCGTTTACTCTGAACAAAAAAAGTTAAACGACTGAACATAAATCATACTGTTGTTATTGTTTTATTGAAGTGTAAAATTCGAATAAGCAGCCCAAAAATTTCGAACACAATAAAGAATTTATCAACGATGAATGAAGCAGCTAGAAACACTGAAATCAACGATGGATGCTATTCTCGGCAGAATTTCTTAAGAACATCGCCATCAACGATATTTTTATGTGATAAGTGTTTAATGTTAGCAATCCTCGTTCAACATTACACTACTTACACTTACGTCATAATGAACTTGTTTTCGAAACAATGCTTAAATATATCCTGCTTATTGTTGTAAGACAATAAACCAAACGCACACACACTCACTAATCAACCGCACACACGAACATCTTTGAGAATCGTAAACAGTTTTAATGAGCACATAAACTCGGTATATCATATCCGAGAATATTACTTTGGACAACTGAATTCAAAAGTTCCATTTCACGCACTTGAAACTGAGCTGAAAACTTGCAAATGATCAAATAGTGTTGTATCTTCGCATATATAAAAAATAATACATTGAAAGACGATGCAATGTGAACACAGAATTTGAGCGAAGACTGCAAACGCAACGAATCTATAGCATTGGATAACGAACATGAGCTAAACTGCAACTGAATTGAAGGAAAAATCAGTGAATGTGATATCTTACACGGTAATAAGTAGGCTGATCTTCTACCAATAGAAACCGCAAATATGGAAAGGTTAGTAAGCACTGAATAATGAACAGACGGTGAATATAACGGAAAAAGAAAACTGCACAGTTGAGACGACTTTAACGGCAATGTTTGATAAAATTTCAATAGCAAAATTATTTCGATTCGAAGAATGTTTTGCAAACAATAGACAAATTGCTCTTGAGTTTCTCTGAGACATCTCAATTAGACGAAGAAATCGTGTTGAATTTTTTCAACATCATTATTTCCATACAGGTCATTATTACGGCAGAATGTGCAATCATAATGGCACGCACATCTAACGGATAATATTTAAATAAGAACATATTTCGTGTGTAGAGTCAGACCAATTATATTGAAATGTGCATTCAGAGAAAAGTTTTCATTTCTTCTCCTTACATTTACCAACCATTCATCATTTAATACAAGCTGTTTTCCACATTTTCACATCCGGCTGATAAAAAGGATCAGTTCCACTGTAATATTACACAATATCACCTTCATGAGAACTGACCCCAAAGAGCAATGAAAACATTTGTCATAAACAGCGCAACAAACATGAATAAGTCGGAAATATGAGCTTTATCTGTAATATAATAAAATTTTGGAAATGGAAGCAGTAAAAAGAATTAAATGTTCATCAATTAATATCTCATCACCAATTTCGATAAAGGAATTTCACATTGGAAGGTTTCAGTTAACGACTGCCATTGAATAGGTTGTTAAGTAATGCTGAGAAGTTGAACTATCAACAAATATTCATTTTCTCATGGCGCTTAGCTCACATAAACACTNAATATAAACAAATTTGAGGATGGGATTTAGTTAGGCTTTTTTATGGACTGCGTGCAGAAGTAATACATCGAAGATGTCATCCATACATCGTCGATTTCATTTAAAAACAGAAATCGAACATTTTGGATTCATTGTGTGGCAGAGGTGATGAATAAATGAACAGCATTTGATTCAGCGATATCACGTGAACAACGGTGACGAAACAAAAAATCCGATGGATATATGACACGACGACGATTCTTCTTCCTCCTTCTCCTACTCTCAAAGACACGCTATCAAAGCATGGATGATGATGAGTAAGTGTTGATTACTCAAACTCAAACAATATCGCAAACTTTTTTGCCAATAACGCAATGATGCCACGAAACGTTCCCATATGACGACTCACTTCAGTGGTGCCTTCTTCAACTGGAACTTTACCACAAGCAGCGGTTCGAGAACACACGAGTATGAGAATATTCTCATGAAATGCAACATTTTCAGGATCTGTCACACCAACACATAGTTCAATGAACATTCACAATTATGCAATTCACAAATCCGATATAACTCATCAAAATATGAACGAATGCTCTAGAAAAAAACAACTCAAGTTTCAGAAGTGTGTATTCTTAACAGCTTGCTGTTTACCTTTGCTAGTTGACATGAAAGTTATCAAAATGTATAGAGAAAACTTTTTATGATCAAATGACTGGCCAAACAAAAAGTCAGATTTAGCTTGAAGACTTTGTTCGGATGAAATATGGAAAG